GTCTCTTGACGAAAGCTGCTTTTACGAATGGTTAACGTCAGCAGAGCACCCGGGACGTAGTGCACCTCATCTTGTGTACCCATACAATGTTGCCATGAACATGGAGGTGACGAAAATGTACGAAGCGCTCTCGACGACTGTACGACATTGAACAGTTTCGTTATTTTGGCAGTAGATAGCAATATCGAGTCATGGACTTCAGTTTGCTGAGTTTGAGGTTCCGCCGAGCGAGATGGTAAAACATACGCCTTTCAGGAAGCGCATTGATAACAGTAAAGGAACATACAGCGGGGATCCACTGCACGTCAGAAGGCAATGGGTCAGTGCAAATAGATGGAAAACAGTTGTCACATATTGTAATGCAGTCAACCAGTGTCGTAGCGTAAGACGCAGTTCAATTCGCAGCAGTATCCACGACCACGCGTCGAATCTCTGCTAGTGCAATTCCGCAATCTGTACCACTAATCGACGTTGACTGTTGATTTTGCCGATTGCTTTTACAATACAGAAAAAGACCGGCATTTCCAAGAAAAGTGGTGTGATCGCGTCGAGTCACGCTTCGTCTTTGTATCATCGTTACTAAGTCGTCGCACCTTTTTCGTTTGGACTGCTCGCTCATACTTTCCGAGAAAAGTGTCCGCAAATCGTTACCACACGGACCAATTCGATGGTGTAAAGCTCACACCGGTGTTCAGCCTGCATATGTTCTTGATGGGTTCAGCAAGTGTCAGATTATGTAGCCAAATAGTGTACTGCGTGCCTCGCATAATCAACACACATGACCGTGGAACCGGAACTATCACCATGCGATGAAGCAGGCATTTTGATAGAAACTGCGTACATGGTAAGGTACGTTCTGACAGCTCGCAACGGAGGAGTCACAAAAGATGATTTAAAGTAGAGACAATATATGCTGTAGATGCAAGATCCAAACTTTGTACCGCCAACAGTGCTAATCAACTGAGTCAACTTCGCACGCACGCAGCAATCACTAAGTTGACCTCACATTCCAATAGTGTCTACGCATCAAAAGATCCAGCTGTAAATACCACATCTTATAGCAACTGCACGGATCTCATGTGCAAGAAACATCGCGTGACGTCCCATGTCTAGAGATGGAGCAGCAGATGTCGCCAAATCGATCGAAATCGAACTGCTTTCAACAATTCAAGTGAAGGTTTACAACAAAAGCTTAGGTCCTGCCCGTCAAGAAAACGATGTACGTTCCCTTTGTCGTGGCATGTCAATAAAAAATGGACAGGAAGCTGAGGTCATGTGAGTTGGCTAGTGACTTTCTGTACCCGTTACAAAAAAAAGATTTACCTCGTGAGGAAATGGAAATGACGATCTTAGCGTTTACTGGCGGGCTCGATAGATTTCGACCGATCGATACTTCCATCATATGTACTCATGCAAACGATCTCCACAAATGCATACTTACATACATAGCCATTGCGAGCACAAAGACCGAAGTTACCAGTGATGTGTACGTAAGGTGCGTAAGACGAAATCTACACTCTAGGCAGCTATGGTAACTTAACTCTCGGTAGCTGTTTTCTTATGCGTATCCTGCAAGTCACGCATTTAACCGGCTTGTCGGCAATTATGGGCGAACAGTGCAATCGAAACAACGGTCGTCGGTTTGAAACAGCGAGGATTCTCACACACCTTCGTCATCACAATATTAGTAGCGACCTCCTCTGGACAATTTTGATTACTAGCAGCATTCACCACGCTGCGACTGCTGCCGCATTACTAGCAGTTGTCAGAACGTGGAGAAGACAGCTACTTATGATATTGAGGAGGTGCGCAGCAGGTAGGTTGACTTTAACTGTCGAAAAAACCTGCTTCTTCAAGGTTTGCGTCTCTACGTTCCCGTGTGACACGGCAGATATGAGAGCTAACGATACAGCCGTGTCAAGTTCTCAGAAGCAAGCACGATATTTTCAGGACACATGAATCTATTTGGCTGTCATGGAAGTGCTCATGAAGGAATCGAGACACAGTGGGTATTTGTGTATTCCAACGAAGCCTGACACAAGACTTGCCACCCACATCTCGTTCCTTCTCTATATCTGACATTTTTTCTTCATCATACTAAGCAACATCCGCTTACCGCGCAAGAGGGACAGAAGCTCAACACATAGCAAGTCATGTCCTTATAGTACCACTCGACATGACGTTCTGGTGCTACGATTGTTACTTTCTCATCAAGCAGTATTCTATGGTCGGTCGCGTTTGTTGCTGTTGCTGCTCTATTGTTGTTGCGTAGGCAAGATCAACCGCCGAGTCCCGTTTCTTCCATCGATCTCTTCGACACGTCCGCATCACCCGAAAGTACCTTCGTCACACAGCAACCTTACAGCTATATTGTGGTTATTACCACCCATGGCGCACAACCCAGCCGCCAACCACAACTAATCTAGATGGGTACGCAAAATGTCCCACGCTTCGTTCTGCGCCAGAACTGCACGACTTGTATCCACTTGCGAGCTACAAAGCTTGCTAGCCTCTTCTGCAAAAGCGGACTCAAAAGGTACTAAATTGTGGATTTCTACAAGTCGGTACGACTGATTAGCGCCGAACGCATGTAGCTGAACGTTCGAGAAGTAAAAAGACGGTATTGCCCTGCTGCACAATTTTGCAGCAAACAAGGAGCACTTGCAGGGCACTCTGTTGATGCTACCTATGATCGGATCGGACGCACATGTGAAACCACGGATCTGTACGCGCATGTACCGACTCAGGAACAGGGACAAGCACTGCGGTACTTCAGGAGCAAAACAGAGGTCATGCGATTCACCGGTCTTCTTGTGACCGACAGCGAAACACGACTTTACTATGCGCTCGTTTTACGTACGTCCACGCTTTCCTTTGCCCTGAAGAGGGAAGCATACTCGGCTTTGCCGTGCTTGGGTGCAAATGACTGCCACCAACCCCTTGTATCCTCCCCCTGTCGAAAGAGAGCCGCAGCTGCCGAGTTACTTCGGTCCTCGAAACATGGTGTTTGTAGGCGCTATGGCTTTGCCAAAACTAAGACGATGATGCGACTGTAATTTGCCCACGGTCTTTACAACTAGGAGCATCGACTCTCTATGCACGCGTTGGCGCAACCTTCGCCTCTCAGCATTCCTTCTCTCGGACATCGCGCGCAGCTGTCCAATCAGTCGTGAGTTTTCCGTGAAGGCCAACGCTCTTCGACAGCAGCAGCTACAGCTGTGTGTTCTCCAATACTTTTTCCCACTCTTTTCTTGGCATACCACGCGCTTTCGGCGTTCTTTCTCGCAGAGACCGTCCAAGACCCGTTTGGTCCACTCTCACGACATTTGGCGTCAGCGTCGGTCTCTATTAGGACCACCTTCTTCCGCCTGCTCGCCCGCAAAGCGTCAGGTCTTATTCCACTCTCACCCTTCCAGTACCGAAAGTAGACGCGCACCTCTGATGCGGCTGAGTCTCGAGTCTTCGCGCGAGACTCTGCACACGTCTTCTGAGCGCTCGGGACCCGCCACATCGTCTCACTCGTCCGCCTTTTGCCCCATCGACGTCGACAGTGAAGACGCGCACGACTCAATAAACGACGACGACGACGACGACGACGCCGAGCCCCAATTCGCGCGTGGTCCGCACGTAACTACTACTGCTATGACTGCTATTAATAGTCGACCGGTACTCCTAAATCGCTCGGTCGACGACGCTAATCCGAGTCCGGAGAAGCCAAAGAAGGCGCGAGAAACTGTCGATGGAACACGACGAAAAGAACCGCCACGACACACTCAGCGCAGCAGCGAAAGGAGCCATAAATACGACACAAAGGGCGTCTGTCGCCCGAGCGTTGTTGACCCGTCGCCTGACCATCAGTGGCACCACAATCGCTTCCGCATGGAGACGGACGCTGTACGTACGCGGCAGCGCGGCACAGACGGCACAGCTGTTGCCTATCAACGCAGCAACGGCCGTCTTCGGACGCTTAGGGAGCGACCGAACGTCGTCGTAGCTGCCCGAACGAGCGTTTGTGGCGAGAGATTCGACGGCAGTGAGTTAAAGTTCCAACGGGACCGAGTGCGGCTGACGATCTGGAGACAGGACGAGCGGCGGTGGCACGGCGACGTCCTGCACGCACACATTCAGCGCCTCTGGTACGTGCGAACGTATCCGAAAGCTTCTTGGGTCGTTGATGTGCACTCACTGCGGAGTTTCGTACTGTTGTTGTATCGTTGTTGTATCGCTGTCTGTCGTTTAGCTTCTCTCGAGTTGATGGTCCACCGTATATCCTCGTGCTGCACCTTGACGCCGCACAAAGCCGGTCAAGTTTTACTGCTTTTTACGACCCGTTGTTCGCCAAAGTTTGGAAAGAGCACGAGACAAAAGTGCAAGCGGCATTAAGTACGCTGGTCATGATTCTGTTAGCCTTCTTGTAGCTGCTGAGGATAGCGGTGAGTGACGATGGTTGTCATTTCCGAGCAGGAATGTATGGCGTCGTCTTTTATTTTGACGAAGCAATCGACTACATGCGCTGTCAGAGTATAGCCGACGGTCATTCGAGTCTGGCAAGGCTGTCCAGTGAAAGCTTGTCGTACGTTTTGGGGTAGATAGAGAGTTGTTGGTGTGTTTTTCGTCTAATGGATCTGTGCCTTTGGGGACGACATGGAAGCAGAGACGATGAGCGACGAATGTATTTGAGTTTGGATGCATCGAAGACACTGCGCCATCGACAAAACAGCAAGACGAACGACAACATGTCCACTGACTGTCAGGGTCAAAGTTTTGCGACGTTGGTTGGCAAAAGCGCCAGACAGGCACTCGGCAGCATGACTTCCTTCTTCCGTCCTGTTGCTCGGTCGTCTGTCTTGGAGGAGGACGATAGTGTCTCTGTCGCTCGGGATCATGATGGATATAGCCGAGGCCGAGTGCTTTACCTGTCGCGTCAGAACCCCGAAGTATACTCTCCCAACCTCGATGAGGAAAAGTTGCCGATTCCGGTCAACGTTCATGGCACTGACAAGCAAGATCGTGGACCAGATGTCGATGGCAGTGATGCACTTGTGGTTAGCACAGCGTGCGACAGGCGTGGCGGTGAGCAATCTACGATGACTGATTTGTCATGTTGCTTGCAGCCAGAAAAGAAGCAGGATGAGAAAGAGAAATGTACGGCAAGAGAAGCGCTAAGCTGTCGGGAAATTGAGAGGTTGAAACGGAGAAGGATTGAAAGTCGCCGCAATGAAGTTTTGCTGGAATACCCGTACGATGAGTCGGATACGCTGGGAAAGATTAAGGTGACGCTCGGCGATGTAGACCGACTGGTTCCTGGGGAGTTTCTGAACGACAATCTGATTGATTTTTATCTCAGGTAAGTATTACATCGATCACAGAGCGTTTGCAGCCGATGCGATATTGACGTGCTTTGTGTAGATTCCTCTGGCGACACTTGGACACGTTGCAGCAGCAGCAAATGTATTTCTTCACCTCGCACTTTTTCTCTCAATTGAATGGCACCAATGGTGCCCACGAATTATCACAAGCTGGTCCCGATGAACGCTTTGCTCGCGTGGCTCGCTGGACACAGAAGGAAACTGATCTCTTCGACAAGCGCTTTTTATTTATTCCGATCAACGACAGGTGCGGCTTGCTTTCAACCGGGCGCAAATGGATTTATGGCAATCAAGTGCGCGCGTATTGATTCTGTTGTGGCCATTTTGTACAGTTTTCATTGGAGCATTGCCATAATCTGTAATCCAGGCTCCGCTATTATCAAAAAGCACCATAAAGTGAAGCGATGTCGCCGTGTGATCAAGGAGTCTCACACTCATGGTCGAGAAGGGGCGACGGTGGATTTGGTGAATAATTGCAGTGGGATCGGTGCGGGTGATGAGGGCCCAGGAGTGACCGATACGGATGACAGCATTGTTGCCAACGAGATCGAAGAAAAAGAGCTGGACTCGTGTCAAGTTGATCGGCTGGCGTACCCACCTTGCCTCTTGTTTCTGGATTCACTTCGGTGTCACCGAAAGAAGAAGTTTACGAAAATGCTGCGAAACTATCTGGAGTGTGAATACAAAGCCCGTTTTGCCTCCAGTTCTGCTGACGTCATTTTGCAGCGACCAGCTACATTTGGTGCTAATGATGATGGTGAACAGGAGACCGTCGTAACGGTCTTCGATTCGGACAGCATCGTTCTTTATGAACCCACCGTAAGCTACATCATTGTGTGAAAGGTTGTGCGGTGCCAAATACTTACCTGTTTGCATGGATATACTTGTCAGATCCCACTGCAGACGAATAGCTCGGACTGCGGAGTCTTTCTTCTTATGTACGCATTGTTAGTTGTACGTTTATTTCCGTTCGGAGTGACCCGTGAAGACCTGGAAAACAACTTGGCGTCGACGCTGACACCAGAAATGTTTCGCGAAGAGCACGTCCTGGAGTTTCGTGAGTACTTGCAGCAAGTCCTCTTTTGTCTTCAATGTTTGGAAAAGCATGGCCGTCCTGAGCAGGATATAAAGGAAGAGGAACTTGAGTCGTTTGCGATTGAGTAATGGCTGGGCTTAATATATAGTGCTTTGTGCGCTTCGTCATGCTCCATTGGTGTAGAGGCGTACACAATACCGGAAATTTACGCGCTGCGGTTGACTGATACGGTATAGATAGCGTAGCTGCGCGTGACTTTCGTTTCATGGTCACTCAGAGACACGACAGGGCAGCCGATGTGGCTCCGTTCAGGTCTCGAAGGCCAATAAACGTCGTAGCCCACGTACCAGAAAGTCCCGTTGGCTCTGATATTCTACCTGAAGATCAAGCGTTCGCCGAGCGCAGATGATTGACAAGCAGAGCTCAGATGGTATCACGGGACTTACGCTTTCGAAAGGCGAAAATGCTCTGGCTGAGTGGCCCTCTCGAATCTCGTTGATTTCACGAAGTGGAATGGTACGTCTTTGCTTAGTACGGCAGCCTGTTGCGTTTCCGTTGCTGTCCGTTGCCGCCCCTGTCGGCATTGGATTTTTTCGAGCTGTCCATGAGACGCATAAGTCTACGAAGTTGAGGCTCAGCGAAGTGGTGCGAGTTGTCGATCTTTCGTGCCCGTGTTTGACGACCGGGAAGCCCCTAGATAGCAGCTCGGCGAACCCCATCGCTTCACAGTCTTCTACCCGTGACAGCTCTGATGCTTTTAGATTGCTGTTGACGGACGCCAGCATATTGGTATCAGCACCGGTGAACCAAGGATGGTCCAGCAAGTCTTGAGCAGAAATGCGTTCGAGGTCACTTGTTTTTAACATCTTCTGCAGTACATCTTGTGCGAGGGGGCTTACTGTTTGCCAATGGACGTTTGGTTGATCGTCGAGGCACCTCATATTACGCACGTCGACCCTTTTTGGAAAGTGATGGATACGCTGCAAAGCTGCGGTGGAGTCGATACTAAATGGAAATGCCCCGAAGAGCAGCACGTACAGCACGATGCCTAGGCTGAACACGTCAGACTTGAGACCATACGGTCGGCTGCAAAGTACTTCGGGTGCCGCATACTCTAGCGTCCCGCAGCCGTGTGTGAGCATAGCGGTCTGCTGCACGAGCTGCTTTGCCAGTCCGAAATCTGCAATCTTGACCATGTCGCCGTGGATCAGGATGTTTTCTGGTTTGATGTCGCGATGTAGCACACAACGACCGTGCAGATATGCCAGTGCCTCAGCTACTTGCCGAATAATGCCTCGTGCTGTGGATTCGGGCAGGTGCTGCTCTTGGATGAGCAAGTCACACAAGTCTCCGTCTTTCATATAGTCCATGACCACATAATGGACGTTCTTGTCCCGCTCGTACACGCCTTCGAGGCTGACCACATTTGGGTGCGACAGAGAGTGAAGCAGTTGCTCCTCTTGACGAAGTGCCTGCGACGATTCGCAGCATTTCACTGCACACACAATCCCAGTTCGACGATTGACCGCGCGATGAACGATGGAGAACGAGCCTTGTCCTATCTCTTTCATGAGCAAATACGTGGATACAAATGCTCGGTGCGTCTCAACTTTTGCAGCGGTCGTTGACTGTGAAGACAACTTGTCTGTACCTGCCATGCCAGGACTTTGTCGATGTATTATGGTAACTTCTTGGCTGGCACAGCCTGACCTCTGCCGCTTGATTGACCCATCTGACGTCGTCTTCCCATCATTTTGTAGCTGTGATTGCGACAGTATCTCGTTCGTGTCGTTGTTGCTTGAGTTAGACGTCGATCGATCCGCCAGTTTGCATGTCGCCATCGCGTAAGTGGGACATTCCGTCCACGCTGCACACCCGGCGCCGGTTTCTGTCTCGAAAAGCACGTGCACTTGAATTGTGGTAGCGGACGCCTGGTATCCTGAGATCTCGACATGCAGCAGCGCGCATATCAGCAGGCGACAGTTGGAAATTGTCGGACAGGTTATTAAAACGGCGTCGCACGTTTTTATCAGCAGAAGACCTGTACTCGACTTTGGGTTGGAGATCCACGTGCTGTCTGTAGTACAACCCGGAGGAGGACGCGTCAACTGTTTTGCAGAGGACGCATTCGGAAGCCACGTCACAGTTTCCTCCGTCTTGTCACGCACGGATATATACGCGTTGAGACAACCCATTTTTCTGTTCCAGCTCTTAACGTTGTTACATTGCAGGTACCCGCCGCGGGTGTATCGATCGTCACTTATCTGACAAGTAGAACCGGATGACGATGATGCGGTTTGGAGCAATAGCGGCTGCAACCCGCTCAAAGACTTACCGGATTTTGTTGGGCTACAGAGACACAGAGGCAATCTCAAAACGCATCGTCGCTGCCCCTGTGCTCCCCTTCGCGCGTGACGATACGAAGAGTCGCAGCCATCGCATTGCGACTCGGACGTTCCGAGAATGAAGAATAAGGACGACGATGCCATGATGGCAGCGAATGTCAACGAGCTGAGACCGTCAGTCGATTCAAGAGGGGGAGACGTGTGGGGGTTTCAACGCGCGACAACAGCGCAAGGGGGACACTAGTACAACGTCGAACACAAACGTTGGACAAGATTTTGGTCCGTGCACTAGCGATGCAGTGGTCAACGTGGCTGTGGTGCAACAAGGAGTTTGCGGGTCTAAAGTATATATTTTCAACGATATTACGTGGTTTTCCGCGACGGTTGGAAAGGGCACGCTACGCACGATCTGGAAACGTGCCCATTGCGTACTACTATCTGAAGCATCGCCGTTTTAGCACGCAGCAATGCGTCTTCTACGTGACGCGTGTCCAGGGGAACAAGCCGGGACAGCGTCAGAAGCGTCACCAACAGCGCTCTATGAGTGATCGATGCGGACGCTCCCATTTGATGTTGACGCCGATGATATATTGCCGATGTTGATTGGCGCCCCACGTTTTAAGGTTGATCCGTGGGCACATGCACTACACGCAATCTTGGCTACAGACGTCCACACTCTACGCTGGGATGGGTAGCCGATATGCTACTTCAACGTGGCGGTTTCGTGGAAGATTGGGCGTGAGGTCACCCCCATCATCTTTTCGCAGCTGCCACACACTATGAAGCGCACAGAATTCGTTCGCGTTGAGTGTGACTGACCGAAGCTGCCACCTACAGCCTCAGCCGTGTCGGGCTTCACCCCAATGCTCGGCAGCCCCAAATCTCGGGGTCAAACGTGCAAGCGCTGGCGAAGAAGGCTGAAGCGTATTTTTGTACCCTTAGCCGAAACGACTTACGAAGACATGTACAGCCAAAGGACCATAGCGACGACGCTTTCTTATCAGCAAAGCGGCTGCAAACGTTAAGAGCTTTCGACTCGAGTCTCTAGCAAATCCCTTTCGCTGACTGACACGCAGATGCACGACGCAGCGATTACAATTCTACGCGAGAGCAGGCGGAGCTTAACATTTGGCGTGGCGCGACAAAGAAAGCGAGAAACGACCACAAAAGACCCGCCTGCTTCGACGCCAACACACGACTCGAAACTTTGCCGGTTGGCCCGCACCACACACGTGCACACACAGGAGACTTTCGCGACCAAACCATTCCATGTGGCTCCTATCGTTCGCGTCCGAATCATCCGGAGGTACGATAGTTGTCAAGACGACTGGGGCGTGGAGAGTGCTATGGTAATAGTTACACACACGCCACGCTGCTCTGGTCCGGACAAATGTAGGGACCAGTGCATCGAATCCGAGATCCGTCGACTTTCTTGACATTTGTCGATTGAAATCTCAACTTGAAGCAAACACCAACTTACTGGTCAAGCGAGTACTCGAGTTCTGGATAGCTCATCTGTCTGCTTAGCCTCGTCACAAGCGGTGCAACGACATAGACGGCGAGCTACATGACATCCAACTTATCGTCACAGTCTAGGCAATGTATTGACACAAGTAGTAACACCTACGTGGACAAGCTGGTACAAGGGCTTACAAGCCATCGTTGCGAGATCGTCCGTGTGCTCGTTGCTACCAATATTCAGTCACAACGGGTCTTGACTGCTTGCATCAGTGATTGCTTCAAGATTGTGGTCGTCATTCGACCAATGCATCTTGCAATAATCGATATGTCTTAAGCACATCGATTTCCATGACGACTGTAACGAGGTAAGCCCGTTACATAAAATTGGTACGAAAGTACCAATTTTTGAATATTATCTATTTTGATGATGTTCAATTAACATCACTCGAGAAAAGCGATGTTGTCGGAATACTACCTCTAAGGGTAATATCCGTGGAGAGGTCCACTTCTTAATTAATGTACAATGTATATCAACCAATTTAACCACCAATTGCTGCTACACACGCGCAATGGGTGGTGGACGGAAGACCCACATAGTAGACAGTAGTTTAATGTAGTTAGTTAAAGACGAAAGATAATTTAGTAAGAAAAAACCTGTATATTAAATAACAGTTCTACTTTCCCCTTCAGACAGAGCTTTCGGGATCTGTATTGTCTTGGTCGCGCTTCTTCACGCCATGTGTACGTGACGTCGGGCGTACGCACCCTTGTATTGTTATCAATACAAGGCCTTGCTCAATTATCTGAGCAAGAGCGTGCCCCGTTACACCTGGTAGCACGTTGTAGTCCTTCCAACGACCACCCACCTTATCCATCATGAACATGAGGGATGAGAAAGAGAGCTTTCACGCCACGCGTGAAGGATTCTACTATTTGAGTGACCTCGAATGGGCCGCGGTAGGGCGAATGAGCTTTACTGTGGGTACATTGGCGTTTCCGCTATGTTGAAATCTTTGACAGAGACCACCAACATGCCGCCATCGCCAGGTTCATTCAACATGGACTTGGCGCCAAACGAGAGAAATTATCCTCGCTTCAACAGCAAGGCCCTCATTAGGCTGAGAAGTAGAGAGAACTCGGTGCTCGACATACAGAGCTGTTGAGACAGCAGCAATGCAATGCTGCTCTGGGCGGGACGACGAACACGCGTCGCTCTGAAATCTTGAAGGTTGACATTTCCAAATACAGAGGAGTCGAGGAAGACTCCCTGTTGTTATTATTGTCGAATTAGACAAAGCCATAAGGGCACTTCGCATCGACGAGGAGCAAATGAAACTAACATTTCTCAATCCTACTTGGCAGGAAGTGCCGAGACTTGGGCCTTAGGGCTAGGGATGAGCGACCCCTACGCTTATAAGTCGCTCGAATCCTTCAAAAACCGGCTCAAACGAACGTTTGAGCCGCCAAGGGCTGAGTTCAGGTCTCGATCAGAGCATCTGAAACTCAAACAAGGTAAGCGTGACGTGCACGCTTACGCTCAGCATGTACGACTCCTTACGAGTAGTATAACTGCAAACCCGGTAGATGAACACACGTTGATCACTGTATTCATTCAAGGGCTCGCAGACGGGCCCGTCAGAATTCACCTGTTCCGCCTAGATGTGAATGCTCTAGAAGATGCTATTGCAGCATCGGAACAGGAAGACTTAAGCATGAGACAAGCTAATGCTAGCTCAAACTCTTATCGTCCACCGAGACGACAAGAGACCGGAGGTCCAGAACCCATGGACCTCTGTTATGCTAAGAGCGAGAGACCTCGCTCTTCGAACAACAAGCGATTGCAGAAGTACAATCGCTGCCAGAAGTTGGGACACTACGCTTACGAGTGTAGTGCTCCTCGCCCAGTACCTAGGAGTACTAAGCGAAATGGACGACCATTCGCCAAAAGGGGCAATGGTCGTGGGTCCAGCGAAGTTGCGAAACCGCTACAGCGAAGCAGACCATCTAAAAATGGCCGGGGTCAGTAGGGGCGGAGCGCCCTGCTGATCCAGTAACCTCAAGATAGTTTGCAAAAGTCTTAACGGAAATTACTCCAGATATACAGTCACTGTGTGTCAATGCACCTGGTGATGAGATATCACTCACCACCTTTTAGTTAGAAGGGACAAAAGATATGTCACTTCGTGATATAGTTGACTGTGGGGCGTCGAACAATTTAATTCGTCCCCAGTCACTGGACGATCGTAGGCTCAAGTTCGTTGAGCGCTATACTCCCCTATTGAGGATGACGGTGCGCCTTGCTACAAGCGCATCTATTACCGGTAATAAAGGTGTAGTATTATCCTACTACGCGTTAGAAGACGAGCAGCACAATGATGACTTCATCGTTCTGGATGATATATTTGATGTCATCATGGGATTACCTTGGATCAGAAAGTACGAGCCGAAGGTAATCCGGCAGCTTCGATCCGTGAAGATGCCTGTCGCTTGTTCATCACATGGCCATCTGATGAACGTCATGCAGCGTCAACAAGCGTGTGGATGTGCTGCGAGTGAGTGCTATGGACTTACTTGCGGTACGGTCATTAGCACGAATGCACAGGGTCTCAGTGAAGCTGATCATTACACTGTGAAGCAATCTCCCGACGGCTGTACAGAAACACAGGCAGCGCCGAAGGTACATGATTCAAATGAGTCGATTGGACCGGGACATGGATGCATGTCTAGAGGGAAACATCTTAGGAAGAGAACCAGTTGTCCACAATCGACAACACGGTCATCCTAGGTCGACTGGAGAGTCGACAGTAGAAGATCAAGACCTGAATGTAGTTGCATAGCCACATTAAGAAGAC